TGCACTTGCGACGTTAACGATATTTATAAATTAACGAGATTATCACGGATATATTAATGTCTATATTATACTATATATATTATACTTATATTATAATATATATTACATTATATGTTATATTAATGATATATTGAATATCTTTTATTTTTTTTCACGCGCATCTTCAGATCTGCCTCGACAGAATCACAATGATTTGCCATTCTAACGTAATTATACCACTCTCCCTCAAAATTTTGACGTTTCATTTGTTCCATTATTCCGCGCGACGAACACGTAAAGATCGATGAATTATTAGAGCGTGAGTCCAGCGTTTAAAAAGAGAGGGACGGAGAGAATTAGCAAAACAGGCTACGTTTCTCAGTAACAAACTCGAGGGCACGTCGTTGAGGTACCACGGGATAATAATGACAATAATAGAAGATGAAATTGTTCCGGCGCGAATTCGCGAGTCCGTGGGGAGTAATCCTCGTTGCTGGAACGGAGGAACAACTTTTTAATGAGAGATTAATTGCTTTAGTGACCCCTCCATTGAGAATTTATTCGCCCCCTCCCCTTGTATTTTACATTAACGACCGTTCCTAGTGTAAGTTGGCACTCGTCTGTCCCCGCGAATACGCCAATTGAGAATATGGGACTACGCAATCTTTGCTAATTGTTGCAAATTGTTGTCGAGTTCCGAGGGGTTGCTTCGTTCTTAAAAATTTCAATAATCTTCTAATAATTTCACGTTAAAGGTTGACAATCGTAGTGTTAAAACTGCAACTATTTTCTTTAATTGGCGACTTGTTTGGCAATTTGTAATGGGGAAGGTGGAACTCACCCTTCTCTACGCACGTCGGCACGCAGTCTCGTACTGTCGAGCCCTCACTGACGTATTTCTGGAAGAAGAAAAAAAGAGAAAGATTGCTTTATTAATTAGCTTGTGCAGAGTCTAAGAGTTGTTCAAAATGAATTAAATTTAAAATCAGAAAATAGAGGGACAATGAATAAATAGCCAGCTGAAAGTGATTGTGACAATAAACGACGATAAATTTATGGACAGTATGAAATTTGTTTCTCTCGTTCGAAACGAGATTATTCAATTCGAATCTCATAGTGTCACTCGTGAGAAAATTCTGTTCGTTAAATTGCACCGATTGATCTACACCGTAAAACTACGAGAATCGAAACAATTTTTTAAATTCTAAAAAGAAAAGAAAGAAAATAATTAAAACGATGAAAATATTCGACTTCGGTCTCGCGATGCCAGTTATGTCTGGTTCCCTTTAAAAAAAATCAATAAAAACAAGTAGATTAAGCCCGTTGCGCAGCTCAAGGTACAGTAGAAAAGTGACCGAGGCATCTAAATGACTGATCGACACGAGAGATGCGCGTTATATTGATCGTAAACCAAGATTTGAGAGTGAATACGCGAATGCCATATATATATATAGCGAGCTTGTGTTGCGTGTGGAAAAATGCTAACGATAAACAAGCGCGTTGCTTATTTATCGTTGTTTGGAAAATCCGAATTTTCGTCTTACCGAGGAATTTTGGCCATTGAATAATGAAACGGTCGAGGCAGCATAAAGTCCTCCGGTTGAGCATAATGTATTATTGAATCTTTTACGACGGCGTGGAATATTTTACTACGAGACTTGAGACATTACAGGAAGATGCGCTTGAATATTCAAGACGTGTGCAATATTTCAGAACATTCTTAATTACTTTCTGAATATTCTTGGAATATTTCATTATATCATTGAATATTCTAGAGCGCATTATCTCTGTATGAAGTATGGTTCTAATCGCTTTTAACTTGATTTTCTTTCATGTAGAACAGCCTATGGTATTCTTAGAGTAAGATGCGTAATATTTCAATATTTGCAAATTTTTATATATATATATATATAATTATAAATGTATATATAACTAAATTAAATTATATAACTATAAAATATAATTAAATTATATACATTATAAATATATATATATATATTTATTTATTTATTTATTTACGTGCAATTGATCTTAAATATTTCTGTGAAATCATAGCGATAATTCTGATCTCTTCGCAACGAAATAATTTCGTGAAATAATTAGTCACGTTTCACTTAAAAGCAGTGCAAACAAGAAATGTGTTTCAACTGCTACAGAGTTAAAGCGAGCATTCTGATTTGAATATTTTTTCTAGTGTCATTTCTTTTTTTTTTTTTTTCTTTTATTAACTGCAAAAATACAATCTATCAAGTTGTGATATTGTTAATGGCGATACTATGGTGTCATTCATTGCATCGTTAAATCCAAAGGACAGTTAGAAGAAAATCTCTTTAGCTTTCTTTATTATTTCGTGGTGATTCACTGCAAGTCTGTTGAAACGATTCCGTATCATCTAGTGATCGATACTTTTTTTTTTATTAAATTATTTGACGATTTCCTTCGCCACAGTTTTCGATTTCTCGTTGATCTGGAATATAGCAATCCGCACTTGCTTGCCGTGACTTCGTGCTCCGTACTTTTATACATCACATTGCACTTTGTGTCTGATCAATTTTCATCTCTAATCTTCGCGCAAGAGTTTCACAACGCACGAAAAATCCGCGATCCAATAACAATTCTCCACGGGAGGATTTAGCCGGCAGTGAATTTAATATTCCTTCATGCCCCACGATCCTCAGCTTCCAAAGAAATCGGATTTCTTCCATCCGATTACCCGTTCTTCCCGTCTGTCGAATTATTGCTGTAACGAGTACGCGACGCGTGGCCAACGAAAAACAATATTTGCCGTCAAACATTGTTTAACGTCGCGACGGGAGAACGTGACGGGAGAATCAATCGAGTTCACGCAAACATCGGGCGCGTTCATGCGATTCGCGACGATGCTCGGTGTGGCAGCCATCGCGCAATATCGCAGAACAAATAGTTCGTTAAGTACCTGATCCGTTCCGTTTGAGGAATTATTATTCCGTTCGGATGAGTCAGTAATCCCTCGTCTTTCTCCTACTGACACCTTGAAAGTTACATTACAGTAACTGCATCGCGCGAATTGTCGACAGAAAAATTTCTAAAATTTACGACAGGGACGAGAATGTGCCATTTATACGAGAATTTGTATTGTGTTAGTGCAACAAGGGACGAATTTACGGGATTTTATATATTTTATTTTGTAGTCACGTTCGAGAGAGATATTTTTTTTGAATAAATTTGGGAAACGGTCGTAAATTATTTCCCGTTGCACGGTAATTTTTCAATCCTCTGGAAATGTGACAATCTGGAATTTCTTGCGGGAAATCTGTTTATTGCAGACTACGAGTTTCATTTTGTGAGTTACAAGTTTCAAACGCTGGTGGCGGAAATTGAGACGAAAAAATATATTCCTCGAAGATATTGGACGTTGGATAGAATAGGGAACGTAAAATTGTATGACAAAAAATATCTGCATTTATCAAATTTTAAACGTCTGCATAGACAAAAATAAAGCGTTCAAATATCCAGGTACACGAAACGGCGATTCGCCAATGAAAACAGACGTGGTAGGTCCTCGGCGAATTTGATTCGTTAAAATATCCATTTAATAGAATTGAAAGTGCATATGCATGAATAATGGATACAGAAATTTCTAATGCTAATAATAATTATGGTTAATGGTAAAATTGTAATTCAATTTATTATAAAATCAAATGTTGGGAAATTACGTCAGTCGACGAACGAGTTTGTTAAAGTCCAAGGCCGAATGATTAATCCAATTAATTCGATGCTACAAAATGTATTATGGATAAATAATGGATACAGAAATTTCTAATGTCAATAATATATTGAATGAATAATGGATACAGAAATTTCTAATGTTAATAATATATTCTCAATAATTATGATAAATGGTAAAATTGTAATTCAATTTATTATAAAATCAAATGTTGGGAAATTACGTTAGTCGACGAACGAGTTTGTTAAAGTCCAAGGCCGAATGATTAATCCAATTAATTCGATACTACAAAATGTATTATGGATGAATAATAGATACAGAAATTTCTAATGTTAATAATATATTGAATGAATAATGGATACAGAAACTTCTAATGTTAATAATATATTGAATGAATAATGGATACAGAAATTTCTAATGTTAATAATATACTCTCAATAATTATGGTAAATGGTAAAATTGTAATTCAATTTATTATAAAATCAAATGTTGGGAAATTACGTCAGTCGACGAACGAGTTTGGTAAAGTCCAAGGCCGAATGATTAATCCAATTAATTCGATACTACAAAATGTACTAATGTTTCAAGAGAATTTAATGGAACGAAATGTTTAAATGTTCAATATGAAGAAAGATTCAGATGGAAGGTTTAATATGTACGACGTCCTCGGGGCGTTACAGTCGTTGTGATATCGATCACTAGCTGTCTATGATGCATGGTTTGCTTCGAAGGACTTTGAATTCGTCCAATCAGAGAACACAGGACGAATGATGAGTGCCTCGTCCTTCTTAATCATCCTTTGACTACAATGTACAGAGCCAGGGATTTCTAACGTGCCTTCAGTGGCATCGATCCGCGATTATCGACAGAAAACGTCGAAGCTCGGATGATGGAAAGAAACTGGCGGGGAAGAAAAAAATAAGAGCGAACCTTTCAACCTTCCTCGATCACGGAGCACTGAGCAATCGAAGATTATCTTCGTTCTCGAGGGCACTGAAAGTTTCCTCCGAGAGTGGGAAATCTTTTTGTCATCGAGTGACAAATGTATGTTTCAGAAATTGGGAAATTTATTTAAAAATGATATTTAATTAAATTTCTCTGAGGAGAGTCTGAGATCTTTTGTTTATTGTCATCGAAGAATGAATATTAGGAAATCGGTTTAAATTTTAACATTTACAATTTTCAAAGTAATATCAATGAAACTTCGATTCGCCAAATTTCTTTGACAAATCCTGAACATTGTAAAATCAATGACATTGGATTATTATAAATAGAATCTTTAGTCGATTATTAGTAATAAATTTTTGTTATATCTTGAAAAAGTTATATTTTCTTATGTTTGGAGAAAAATTTTATTATTATTAATTATTATCAATAAATATAATTACTAGTATCACTATCATCGCAAGCAATAAATATGTAATTTTGGAAAAATCTGAGAAATCTGTTGGTCTCTCATTTGGAGTGGCTAATATTTTTTTCTTAAAAGGAGATTTAATGACGACAAATATTAGTTCAGATGAAGGAAATAAAAATATAATACGAAAGTTGTGTCTCATATAACCGAGAATCAGCGAAGGGTTTAACTCTGTATACAAGAATCCCAGATAATCTTGAAAATACGTTTCCGCGAATTTTTCAGCGAAGAATCCTTGAATCATAATATCTGCTTGAAATTAATATCTACGATATTCTCTGCTTATTTATTCAGAATAAACATTGTTGCATCATAGAGCGATCCCGCAGAAATGGAAACACGTTGACGCTTTATCGCAATTTATGACGCTGGTAATCCTATTTACACACGCGAGTCGCCCTTTTTGCTCTCGTCAAAAATCTCTATCGAATTAATACCCGTATACTCCGAGCGAAACGAGACGTGACACTTGTTTCCATCCGTAGAATCCGCGAACGTCGATACGTCAAACGAAAATGTTTTATCCAAACGTATCGCTCGAATAAAAAGCCTTTCACCTTAATTCGCTCTCAAGCGGACAAACACATGGCAATAAAGTCTGCCTTTCTACGTAGCGTAAAACGTAAATGTTTTTCCTGACTCCGTCACACATGCGTATAAATCTTTCAAATTCTGTCAGAGAAATAATACAGAGGCTGACGAAAGCTTAACCAAACACTTGACGAAGTTCAAGTTTCATTAATGTTCTAACAAGACACGATTGCGATAGACAAAGT